GAATCAAGTTCCAGGCCTTTTTTGCTGAAACTTGTTTTCTTGGTTTTTGAAATATCAGTGGCATAGCTTCCAATATCATAGCATCACTGCTTAATAGATGACAATATATGTATATACAGCGTTTTATTCATAAATTGATGAACATTTGGGTTGCTTCTCCTTTGGGGCTACTATATGTAATGTTAATGTTGTTGTTCAGTTTTGGAATCCATTCCAACACATAACAGTGCGTACACCAGAATGAAACACTGCCTAGTCCAGCGCCATCCTAACAGCCCTTGCTATGTTGGCACCAGTCATTGTGGGCCCTCTGTCAGTCCATCTTAGATGTCTTCCTCGTTTTCTCAGATGGGAACATTTATGTACAAGTTCTTGTGAGGGCATAGGTTTTCCTTTTCTTAAGGTATATATACCTAGATGTAGACTTGCTAGTCATATAAGGTTTTCAGTGACTAATCCCTTAGAAGGAATTGTACCGTGTATTTCTTCGTTGTTAGTCTGGAAATGTTAGATTTCTCGGGGGAGAGATATACCTCAGTCCTTGGCTCCACACGAGAAAGAATTCATGCCGAAGCCTGGTTTGTGATCCAGGTGGGTTTATAGAGAATAGTAGCAGTTTCAGGTTCTACAGTATATGGAACACAAGCCAGAGTCCGCATATGGAACACAAGCCAGAGTCCGCAGCACAGTTGCAGTGGCCTGGCCACTCCGGACCAAAGCCTAGCTGTGCTACATAGTGTAGCAGCTGCTGGGAAAGAGAGCATGTGCACCAGAACAAAACCTCTGGCCTTTTTAGGGGTCCCGTTGGGAGGCGTGGTCGACAATACTGGTCTACCCCATTGGCTGAATTAAATTCACCTGGCTTAGATGGGCCAGTCCAGGTGTAACGCCCACCTAGTTGTACCACCCTTCCTGGCTGGAAGCTCAAACCTCTGAGCATGAGTAATGGATGCCCCGGTCCCTGAAACCTGTTCACTTTGGATGACCCTCTGGGTATTTCAAATACTGATAGCACAACTTTTAGCATGAAAACAATGTGTACAAAACAGGACAGTATGAAAATTGACAGATGATTGGATTCAACCAGCAGAACAAACACTGGAAAGCCCTCGTGTTAATGCCAAGAAATTTGAAAAACCTGGGCAACTGACTAGAAAACATCCATGCCTTGGCCATTCAAAAGCGAGGTGATCCAATAGAATGCAGATATAATTGAACACTTTCAGTAATGTTACATGCAAGTAAAATTTTGCTGAGGATAATTTAAAAATAATTACAGCACATCAACAGGGACCTGCCAGAATTTTAAACCTGATTTAGAAGAGGACATAGAACAAAGGATATCATTATCATTGCTGATGCCAGTTGGGGCTTTGCTGAAAGCAAAGAATACTAGAAAGATGTTTGTGTTTTATTGACTGAGCAACGCCAATCTACTGTGTAGTCATAAACCATTCAAACTACGGATAACATTGTGAAGAATGGGAATTCTTTTTTATAACTTTTATTGGCACTTCATCCACATGTCATATAATTCAACCATATCAAAAAGAGTTACACAATTATCTCTACAATCAATTCTATAACATTTCTTCCTTGTACTCATTGTGGCAGAAATATACACAACCAAACATCCTCCAATCTGACAACTTGTACATGTGTAACTCAGTGCCATTGATTTTATTCTTCGTCTTGTGTTTTTTTTTAATCATTTTATTGCCTCATAAAACTCTTATCACAATCCATACATACATCAATTATGTAAAGCACATTTGTATATTCATTACCCTCATCATTCCCAAAACATTTGCTCTCCACATAAGCCCCTGGCATGAGCACCTCATTTCCCCCCTCCCT